GAAGAAAGGAATTAGCTGAATTTTTGAACCCTTGTTATATTTCAGAAATTATCTAGGTACTTGAGGTTGTATCTTCCCAGAAAATTTATTTAATCATTTTTATGTTGTGTTCAAGTATATGCACGGTTGTGGAAGTCTCACAAGGGATAACTAACTTGCGTAAGTGGCATAGTTTCAACTTTAGTCATCTGCACCTGAGCCGTAGTAAAAAGAGTTCATGAAAGCAGAAGGATGGTGAGAGAGAATTCCAGGCAGACACCAGGATATGCACAGGCATGAGAACCCTTTAATCCTTCCATGAGATTCAATTCAAGAAGGGATTTCAATTTCCCAGTTAGACATAAATGCAATATAAAGATAGATAAGACACAGCTACCTTTGACTTTTTTTTTTTTTTTTTTGACAGGTAGAGTTATAGACAGTGTGAGAGAGAGACAGAGAGAAAGGTCTTCCTTCCGTTGGTTCACCCTCCAATGGCCACCACGGCTGGAGCTACACCGATCCAAAGCCAGGAACCAGGTGCTTCCTTCTGGTCTCCCATGGGGTGAAGGGCCCAAACACTTGGGCCATCCTCCACTGCCCTCCCGGGCCACAGCAGAGAGCTGGACTGGAAGAGGAGCAACCGGACTAGAACCCGGTACCCATATGGGATGCCAGTGTTGCAGGCAGAGGATTAACCAAGTGAGCCATGGCACCGGCCCCACCTTTGACCTTTTTGTATAATTAAAGAATTCTGAACCAAAATTTTCATTTTGTATTTGTATGGAAAGATTTTTCTAAGTCCCAGAATTGAATAACCAGGTATAGCAGATATAATATTAATTATCTGCTAGTGCAAAAATGTTGTCAATATACTATTGATGAAGCACACTTCTCTGTGCTGTAGCATGCACAGAGAATCCAGTACTAACAGAGCACCTGCCTTCTTGTACTGCAGTGTAGTAAGAGTCATTTATGCAGAGGTCCAATAAACTATGATGAACAATGTGTACAGAATGATCAAGAAGCATAAAGCAAAGATTCCCTAACACTTTGTTTTTAATACTAGAAGTAAAACTTAATAACATATTTGGGTAGAGATGCTTCAAGCCAGTCTGAAGATCTCACTCTGCAAATAAGACCATTCGGAATTCTTTTCTGAATAAATGTTATGTTTCCATTTGCTTTTGATGACAATGATGATGATGATCATGATGAACTCCAACAGTTGGTCTTAAAACACACAGAAAACTACATGACTCCATTACTGCACCTAAAACATGGGGGCATATGTGGGCTTGGACAAATTACACCATCTGAGTTAACTATAGTAATGTTCTTGCCCAAGGTGCCTAGTCAACGTCAGACCAACAGAACCAGCCCTTAGACGGACATTTAGAACTGCTTGGCCTCGGGAATTAGAGTTCAGGGGAGCCATACAGGAAAAGCAGAAGTCATTCTATGTCATGTTTGAGTATTCAGGATTCTCCTAGAACACTAGATCTAAGGGTGAGAACACTGGCAAGTAAAAATGGTTGGATACGCTGAGTTTGACTTTGATTTTTAAAATTTATTTTGTTGTTGTAGTTGTTTTATTGTAGGTGGAAAAAAGTTTAGGCAGAGTAAGCAGATTGATCAGCCACACTAGATTTTGGAAAAACAAAGGACTCTATTTTACACTTTATTCTTTTACTTTAGTTGATAAGGGGGGAGGGAGTGAATGCTACTTAAAACAACAACTTCTGCCGTTACAAAGCTGCGACCAGATCCAGGTAGTCATTTTATCCTCTGGTGACACTAGCCATAAAGCAAAAAAGGCAAGTCAGAAAGTCTGCTAGGTTTATTTTTTGTAATTTTTAAAATTTATTTGAAAGGCTGGGAGAAAAAGACACACACACACACACACACACACAGAGAGAGAGAGAGAGAGAGAGAGAGAGAGAGAACTTTTATCCACTGATTTACTCACTGAATGCGTGTAACAGGACTGAGTACAGGAGCCTGGAATTCAATCTAGATCCCCTATGTGAGTGTTGGACCCCACTAACTGAGCCATCATTTGCTATATCGCAGCTTCTGCATTATCAGGGAGCTGGAATTTGGGGTGTAGGCAGTACTTGAAATCTAGATACTCCAATAGCAGTTAAACACTAGGCCAAATGCCTGCCCCGATCTGCTAGTTTTTAACATTGTATTTCCAGGATGCGAGATTTCTCCTGGTTATAAAAGGTGGTAGTCATTTCAAGGAAGCAATTCAGAGCAGTAGGCAAACAGGCAGATAGATAACGTGTAACTACGCATTAATATTTTGAAAAACCAGTTAATTGCTGAGCTTTTTAGTTTACATTTTTCAGGCAGCTTATTTTCTCTATTTAATGCTCCTGGCTTGTGGCCTTGTCAGAAGAGGTCACCCATAAATCTAATCAGCACTTGCAGGTGGGAAGATGGAGAGCCACCTCCCAGAGACAGAGTCACTGCAGCCCTTAACTGGAATGATGGTGAAAGAGTCACCTCCTACTGTATCCAAGTGGATGTGAAATGTCCAAATGATGCCACATTCTCTTTGGGGGAAGTTACAAAACCTTTATTAGGAAATCTCTGTATTTTGGAAGAAGAAAAAGCAGGGTTTAATATTTTGAGCATAGACTCTGAATGTCAGGCCTTGTATCTTCAGGGAAAACTTATTGACAGAAATAATAGAGCCTGAAGGAGACCTCCTTTCTACAGATAAAAAGTGACTAAGCAGCTAAGCCTCAGACCCTATGTTGGGAAAAAGCTTTAGAAACTACCCTAGGACAAAGATTAATATACTTATTTCATGGAATTCACACCTTTATACATTCTTCCTTTACCTCCCTCCCTCTTTCATTCTTTCCTCCCTCCCTCCCTCCCTTGATTCCTTCCTTCTATTCTTTAATCTTCCTTGGTTCCTTCCTCTGTCCCTGCCTGCAGTCTGCCTACCTATCAGTATGTATGTATGTAGTTTTGTAAGTGTCAGTGTGAAATGTTTACAGTGAGCTCCTCTGCTAGCTTTATTTGGTGACTGTGTGAGTTTGTGTATCTGTGTCTGTGCTGAAGGAGGGTATTTATTTACACTTGGAAAATGATAGAAACAATGACTTACAATAAACTCTGCTAATGTGTTTTAAAATATGTTTGTCTATTTATTTGAAAAGAAAGGAGAGTGAGACACACACACACAGAGAAAGAGAGAGAGTGAGAGACAGAGAGACTCCCATCCAGTGCTTTATTCCCCAAATGTATTCAATGGCCTGGACTAGGCAAGGGCTGAAGCCAGGCTCCAATAACTCAATCCAGGTCTCTCAAGTAGGTAGTGGGGCACAATTATTGAGCTATAACTATTGTCCTGCAGGGTCTACATTGGCAGGAAATTGAAGTCAGGAGCTGGAGCTGGGCATAAACCCAGGCATGCCAATAAAAGGCATAGACTTCTTACCGGCGCTGCGGCTCACTAGGTATCCTCCACCTTGCGGCGGCCGGCACACTGGGTTCTAGTCCTGGTCGGGGCACTGGATTCTGTCCCGGTTGCCCCTCTTCCAGACCAGCTCTCTGCTGTGGCCAGGGAGTGCGGTGGAGGATGGCCCAAGTGCTTGGGCCCTGCACCCCATGGGAGACCAGGAGAAGCACCTGGCTCCTGGCTTCGGATCGGCCGTAGCAGCCATTTGAGGGGTGAACCAATGGAAGGAAGACCTTTCTCTCTGTCTTTCTTACTGTCTAACTCTGCCTGTCAAAAAATTTTAAAAAAAAAAGAAAAAAAAGCGTAGACTTCTTAACTGCTCTGCTAAATACCTGACCCTATGATATATGTATCAGAGGATTGGTTGATTGAAGGGAAATGCTTTCCTTGTTGCTAATAGCACATTTTCAACAGAGAAAGTAACTTCTGAGCTGTACTTTAACTAGAGTAAAAGAGGATGAAGTGAAGCTGTAGAAGGAGCTAAGGACAGAAGCTATGAGTGGGGGAAGGGACAAGGAAAGGAATGTCACACTGTCAGTGAATGGCAGCATCTCCGAGTGTGGCATGAGTAGGAGCAGCAAAAATTGAGGCGGGCATGCAGTATCGGGATTCGGATACCTGAGTCCTAAATGTGATGAGTGCTTTCAACATCTGCATTATTCTAGTATGCATTGGATGGTGTGGTTGAGTGACTAAGGAGCAGCAGAGGAACCAATTTGGAGGCATTTGATTACTTTCCATGTAAAAATGGAGCTAATTACAATTCTGCAAATCCTGACCTTATAAAAGTACAGAAAGTCCCAAGCTCAATTAATCTTACAGTATAAAAATTACATAGATACAGTATGATTGGACACATTATTTATGTAACAGAATAGTTATTTTCTATTTAGTATGGCTCACTGCAAGATAACACAAAATAATATGTGCCTCCAAGGCATTTTCAGTCAACTTTAATATTAGTTACACATAGGGCTTCAGGTACACATCATGAAGTAAAATGCACCTGTGTTTTTCTTGTGCTCTGGTTTAAACAATACAGAGAATGGTCATTCTGTTTAGTGCTGCTGCATTGGTTGGGTCCCAGGGTTTGTTCATAGTTCATAGGCCGGTGTAGGTAGTCTTACAATGTCAATCGGAAAAATTAATCTCATCATTTTGCTATGTAAATCATTGTTCAAGTCACCCAGCCAAAGCTATGTGCTTGGTATAGTTTAATATGCTATCAGTGGAGTTATTAGGAAAGTACACTTGCTCCATGTTCTGGACTTTTACTTGCATGTCTGACTAATAACATACATTATTTTTAGCTGAATTCAAACTGGCCTTCATCAAGAACAGGTTCCATTATTATTGTTATTTGAAGTGAAAATTTGCTATCAGGTTATATACATATAACCTGATATACATATATACATATGCAGTGTAGATATATTCCAAGCACTGTGGTTTAGGAGTGTGGGAATATGAAAGGTGGGGGCCCCTGGGGGTGTGTGTGATGTCCATAATGTGAATGTTCCTTTCCATGTTCTTCTATGTTTAGGTCTGTGATGGCATCAAACAAGGAGCCAGACCTGGTGCATCTTGAGGCCAGAACTGTGGACGGTCGTAAGTAAATCAGCTTTCTCCCACTGTCTGTAGTAATGGTGTTTCTATCAGTCTGTCATGCACTGAGTATTTCATCATAGTAGCAGTGAGCCAAGTCACTTGGGAGGAGGACTTCTCCTGTATTTAGTTGTCTAGATTATCATAATACTCTTCATAAATGCAATTATATGGATATATATTCCAGGTATATTTGGATAGTGGTGATATGAGCACTGTAAGGAAAAGAGGTAAGGAAAAAGGGCACAGAATGGTGCCTCCTCACATGGGCACCAACTGTAGGAAAATGTAAGGGGCAGAAACCAAGAGAAGGAACGAACTCACAGCCAGACCAGATTTATTCAAAGAAAATAAACTTGCAGAGGTTGACCAACTTTCAGCTGGCATGCAGATTGAACTGAGGGCTTGGACCTCAGCAGGCTGGGCCTCTTTATATCGTAGGTGGGGTCGGGGGCAGTAGGTAGAAGTGAGCTTCCCCATACCACCCTTCCAAACCTGGGGAAGAATGCAAGGGTAGGGTGGGGAACAATAGGGTGTGAGAGTGAATTGGGATTCAGGGACAAGGGATAAATTCTTGATTTTATCTATCTTTTGGGCAATGAGCTAGAATGACTGAGGCTTATGTCCTTGTTCCATCAAGCACAACCCTGTAACCCAGTTGAATTATCTTTCTAGGTAAATACAATATTCTACATATCTGATTTCTAAGCTCTTTTGTTATAATTATTGTTTTATTTGCAAATGTTGTTGTGCTTTATTTTTGCATTTTGTCAAATATCATCCAGGCAGAGCCACATTGTCTCATTTGGTGATTCACAAAATACATGGGGGGGGGGCAGAAAAAAGAGAGAAGCATCCTGTTATATCCCCATCCTAAGAAACAGAAGAGGAAGTTGTTTGAGTCCATTGCTTACCCTTTGTTAGTCCTTACTGAGTCGATTTGGGTGTGCTGCAAAGTGTGGCTTTAGGTAGAGATATAGAGGGAAGAAAGTTACCCATGTCTGAAGGTCTCCTTAGTGAACTCGCTAAATGTATCTCCCTGGAAAAGCTACTTAAACTCTGCCTCTGTTGCTTCAACTAGCATTAAATTTGTTGATAACAATGATTACTTTAGCAGCTAACATTGATTAAGCAGGTACCATACCAGGAATTCTGCTAAGTAATTTCTATATTTTAACACAATTAATGCTCATGGCACCTTTGCATATTGTTATTTCCATTCTACAGATTAGGAAATGAAGGCGTAGAGAGTTTATAGTAATACACCTCAGGTTATATGATATATGTCAGGACAGTAAAACCCATGCCAGTGAGAATTAGAAAAGCCAATGCATATAAAATGCAGCAGAGAGCACCTGACCTGTCACACACTTCAACAACAGTTTAAGATTCTTACCTCTTCTTTGCCCAGAAGGGTCCTCAAAAGGATTAGCAAATATCCCTGCTGCTGAGGTAGAGCCCACAGGTGAGAAGGACAAAAGAAAACAAGAAAAAAGAGAAAGGATGTAGAGGAGGAGGAATATGGGAAGAAAAGAAAAGGGAGAAAGAGTTATCCAGTCTAGAGGAGAGAAAGAGAATGGACTATGCACAATTACCATGCAGTAATAAACATGTAGCTTGCCCAGCATTGAGCCAAAGAGAGGAAATCTAATTTTGGAGTCATTCTCTGTTTCTAAAATATCCCCTCACAATTCTAAAGCGTTCTACCACTGCCGTTTGCATCTCACAACGTGTTCTTAAGTCTTCAGAATGCAAAGAAGAAGACACTTGGCTTCACCAGCTCAGAACTAAAGAAAGCAGGTTACCTCTGCAACCCAGACTCCCCAGAAGCCATGCGTGCTCTTTGACTATGCACACACCAGGAGACTTTCATCTCTAGACGTTCTGCTTCCCCTCTGGGGGCATGAATATGTCCCTTGGCAGAGTCGGTGTCTAAGGCTGGCCATAACGTTTGTGCCCTGTAAACGCAGGCGTGGCTGCCACAGGGGTTATTCCCAGTACTGAGCCTGCTGTCACATGAGCTCAGCAGTCAGGAGCTTCTTTGCCACCTCTACAGGCAGAAGGCTTGCAGTGACCCCTCCATTTCCTGGAACAGATGATGTTATCTTCGATGCCAATGTCCGTTTCTTACTACACAACAGAGCAGTTTTTTCCTAAAGCTATGATAATAATGCCTCACCTGGTTTAAAGCTCTTTTTGACTTTCCAGTGCTCTGTGATAAAGGGAAAATTATTGCCTTGACCTCAGCCTGAGCTCACTCTGACCTTTCCTCCCTCACTCCTCTAGGATTCTGAGCTTGCTTTCAGGTTCTGAACAAGCAGGGTTCTGTGTTGAGCTGCAAGGACCTGATACCGCCTGTTGTCCTGCCTGGAATGCCCTCCTCCGTTCCTCTCACCCGAACCCATCCAGTGTAATTGCTTAGGTGGACTGTGCACACCTCAGGCTATGGGGGAGGCCTCCCTTGAGCTCCCAATCTAAACCAGTTTGTTATTTTGTTTTCTTTCATCCAACTAAGTTTTCCTTTATTGCATTTATCTCAGCTTGAAATTGTGTGCATTCCATTTACCTGATTATTTGATCACATCTCACCATCTCCAAGTTTTGTGAGAGTAGGGCCTGTGCGTATCTTTATTCAAGATTATATTTCAGGGCCGGCGCTGTGGCATAGCGGGTAAGGCCTCCACCTGCAGTGCCAGCATCCCATATGGGCACCGGTTTGAGTCCCAACTGCTCCACTTCCTTTCTACTTCTCTGCTTTGGTCTGGGAAGGCAGTAGAGGATGACCCAAGTGCTTGGGCCCCTGCACCCACGTGGGAGACCCAAAGGAAGCTCCTGGCTCCTGGCTTCGGATCAGCTCAGTTCTGGCCATTGTGGCCCTTTGGGGAGTAAACCAGCAAATGGAAGACCTCTCTGTCTCTCTCAGCCTCTGCCTCTCTGTAACTCTGCCTTTCAAATAAATAAATAAATCTTTAAAAATATTATATTTCCAGCTCATTCTACAGTGTCTTCATGTAGAGGGAGCTTGCTAAGCAGATATTTGAATGAATGCCTAGTTGAGCAGTTGTCAGGGTTACCAACTGGATGGCTATCTTACCTCCTTCACCAAGTTGCCTGAAAACTTTAGAACATTGCATCTCAAACGTGAGCAGCCATGTGACCCACCCAGGGATCTTGTTAAATGTGGATTCTGATTCAGGAGGACCCTGAGATTCTGCATTCCTAACAAGCTCCCAGATGATACCGATGCTGCCCATCTGCAGAACACTCACTGAGTAGCAAAGTCCCACAACAGAAAACTGATAGAAGAGCTTTCGGGTCTGTCTCCCATGACTACACCCTTTGTTATGAAGACTCTAGGTGGAATTGATAGCATCCCAGACTGCTTTCATTGTCAAGCTTTTGGGGATAATGCTGCTTTCTGTTTTGTGGCGTGTGATGCACGTAACCCCACATCCTAAAAGCAAAAAGGCCATTGCAATTCCTGGTCTGCCGTTTTCTTACACCTAACATTATCCTTGCTCCCTGGAGGCATCGCAGTTGATAATGCCAAACTGTCATCTTGGGCTCAACTTTCACAAGGCATGAAATATATCAGTTTTAATTTATTTATTTTATTTTACTTTTTTTTTTTTTTTTTGCAAAGGCAGCATCTTCAGAAACTATCCAAGGGTGAAAATTCAATAAAAGGATTTAATTTGAAAAGTTATCCCTGTCAAAACAAAAGAGAAAAACTTGCCTACCAATCGAAATAAAAGATCTAAGCATAACACCTCACCTGACTGTAAAAAACAGTGAGATTTTCTCAGGATCATAATCAGGCCCCCAACACACACCTTCTCTAACGCAGTCAGTAACTGTGGCTCCAGGTAAGAGAATCAGAGAGGAGGAAAGAAAGACAGAGAACAGGGAGGTCAGAACAGCAAGAAGTTAGCAAATGTAACTGATAATGATTTGAGAGTATATTCATCAAAATCAGGCTCCAGGCTGGTCAGTGGTTCCAAGACTTCCTGTATCCCTCTGTCATCTTCCACCTGTTTCCTAATTGTGATCATTCCTTGTTTCTCCATCTCTTCATTCTTGTTTCATGTAAAATTTAAAGACATTGGGTCCACTACTTATATTCTGAGTCATGTATCTTGTAAGGTATATGCTAAAATAATATTTTTGACTTTGAACACAAAATGTGTTTTATGATGTTAATGTGTTCAGGAATTTTGTGGGCAAGATACTGAAACCTTTGAGTCAGGAAAAATCTCTCACTAGCTGATTTGACTGCCAGGCAGGCAGGGGAATGCGGTGCTAGTGCTTATCTGGGATTTTTATTTAGTTTAGCCTTGATCTCATTTCGAATGTCCTTAGATTTCTTTTTATAGTTTATTTCTGTATATATTTGAAAACTGCTTGTTTGAGGGGAGAGTGAGCTCTGGAAAGCTTTTGTTCTGTGAGACTCTGTGAACGACACAGACATCTCTTATCTCTACTCTGAAATATGGGTGTCTTGCCATTGACCTCTGTCAAGGATGCTGTTCTTCCTGGTCATACTCTGCCTTGGGGAGATAGCAGAAAAGACACAGCTCAGTTACAGTCAATCACAGGAAATACTGCTAGAAAATTGTGAGTCTAAATATCAGTTGTGGAATTTGTTATTGGCTCCCACATTGAACTTAGCATAAATTGATAAGTTGTTATCAGGAAACAGAGATTTCAGTGGCCAAATATCTTCTGTGTATTTGTGTGTGTGTATATTTGTGTTACCTGTATCCAGTTGTTAAAATACTACAATGAAAACTTACATCCTAACGATTTACCTGGCATCAGTGTATATAGTTAGAGAATGCTGATCAAACTTGGATTGAAAAAGTTTGATACAAAATCATATCTTGTTTAATCTTGGTTCAAAAACAGTTTAAAGCCTGAAGCACATAGTATTTATTGGATTAATGTGTGTGTGTGTGTGTAACCACACATGTATATCTTCTTAAAGACAAGTCTTCATTAACCAT